TGGTCCCCCATCATCAAACTTAAATTCTGAATTGTCTGTGAATTCTGCATTTGGTTTAACAACTTGGATCCAATCTGGCTGAGACATGTTTTCAAATTCAGAATTATCATCGTCTGACTAGTCTTCCATAAGTCCATTATGTGCTGCATTATTTGCTCGTTCAATGTCTTGCCTTAACAAAGTTGGGACAATAGCCAGTCAATAAAAAATACATGAATAAGTCATTCCAACTTACATTATCATCTTTAATGTCTGAAAATTTTCTCCAGTCATGCCAATGAAGAATAAGGGTATTTTTACAATAGTCTTCTGTAAGGGGACATGTTGCTCTGAGACTCCCACCTGATATAACAGGGGACTTTGCCAGTTTTGCAAATAAATTGTACTACGAACAGTGATCAGTTTCTGGACGGGATAAATATTTATCTAATGGGTCTGTTTTGTAGCAGGGGATCCATTTTTTTCTAGTATCCGTGCACCAGTTAAACTTATATTTTGAAATGCATGACTTGATCTATAGAGAGGTAAAGTAGAAAGTTCAAAAGAGGTTTCAACAGCTGAAATATCTCTTTTAACAGTTCCCATTAATAATTTTGTACATAGAGATTTGGTAGTAGAACCTGTTGTTTCATCACCACTACTTACCATATCATTAAATAAATCTGCTACAGCCCCTGTAGGTTCATTGCCTTTACATGCATAACCACTGACATATTTTTCTACTGCAATAATTTCATTAACAGAGGGATTTTCAGGTCCACTCTTTGAAAGAATCAGAGATATATCCCCATTTGCTCTCCATGCATGTGTATGTATTTGAGAATGTTGGACCAGATTAGGGTGGTCCCTTTCCATCTCTAAACGTAAGGATCCATTTGTGTCTTTTACAATTGCTGGACAATCTCTAAGGGGTTTACCTGGGTTTAATGATGTGCCGAACTCCATACGACACTGTTTTACAGGATTTGATTGGTTATTTCTAGGGGCACGAAGACAATAATCAGAGCACCAATGCAGATTTATTCTGTTACATAGAAGTAAATGATCTTCCAAGATATTTTCTTGTGATTCACTTACATCCATGAACAATTTAATTAGTGGATTTTTTTCATCAGGTAGGGCTGGGCAGTGCCTTCTGGTGGAGGCCAAAAATTTTTTTTTGGCTTTCTATTTTCATCTACCCCTGCAGGATGGTTTGCAGTCATTTTATATTCTAGTTTAGCCCAGACAGAGAGAAGTTTTGCACATTCGTCATCTGTTTTTCCATCAATAAAAGCCTGGTGCATAAGGTTGTGAGGTTCTTTGTCAAATCGCCAACACAAACCATGCCAGTGTATCATACCCCTTGACTGAAAATTCTTGCCTATACCAATAACTATTTACCCCGAAGACAGGTCCCATAATCTCTTTAAAATAGCTTTGAGTTCTTTTATCAAAATAATCACCAACAATGTGTGTATAATCTTGTACAGCTTTAAACATGTTGTTGTGGTCATTTAAATCAATTTCATTGCCAGTTGTTTCTTTTATATAAAGGGAAAGTATTCGTTTCAGCGGTTTAAAGTAAAATTCTGCACAACTGCCAGTGGTAAAAAAAGATGGTAATCCCTGACCTTCATTAATTTTATACTGAATAAGAGCTCTTAATTCTTTTGATCTTTGATTCCAATACTGTGAAGTGCCTCTAAGGTTTGCACTGAAATAAAGAATTTTTTCAGCTACAGATCTATCTCCATTTTGTAATTTAGCTTTCAGATCTGAAAGTGTTAACATATTTTCACCTAGTTTTTGTTGAACTATAAATGTACTATTATCTAGCACACCTTTTCTATTTATTATATTGTGAACATTAAATTTAAAAAAATTATGCTTTGCAAAGCGGCAATCCTGATACCAGATTAAATAGTTTGCCCAGTCTGACATTGAAGAACATGTTAATGGGCGATTCATATGGAAGTCTGCACAAGCATGGGGAAATAAACATGGAAAGGCTAGCGTGAAAAAATGTCTTGTAGTGAACTCAGAAAGTGGTATCTTACCACGAGTTGGCCAAGGAATTGATATCTGACCTTTTTTATTAATGGAAATATCAGTAATTTCTTCTTTAGCAATTTCTTCAACAGCATCTTGTATTTTTTGTTTAATATCAACACATGGTTCTGGAAGCAAAACACTTGAGATAGTTTCGCCTTCAACATTACCTGGATCAATTTGCTTTGGTGCTGGACCGTGATCATTTAAATGTCCAACATCAGAGTTATACTATAATAGATATAAGAAGATGTGGTATGAGTGCCAATGAGACAACTCTCCATCCAAGTCAAAATAATGTATTGATGTTTTGTATTTGCCCATCCACTGGTAATAAATTTAAGCGCTCTTCGCTAATTTCAATGTCAGAATAAGAACGATTACTTTTTTTTAACCATACAAGGGCTATTTGTACTTTTTGCCGCCTGACATTGAATTCTTTTGATGTATCATTTTTCCCTATTTTCCTAACTCTAATTATATTAACTTCTGAAGAAAGTTTAGGTAACATTTTGCCAGGTTCATTTACCTCCTGCGGAAATGCCACACAGTGGCCATTTGTAGCAATACCCCCATGTTTTAACATGTGAATATTTATGCAAGGTGAAATTCGGGAAATTAATTGCTCTTCAACAACAGATAAATTTGCTAGTTCAAGGGGTACTTCTCCAGGATTCATCTTATTTTCAGCTGGAAACATTTTGATTGTACCTTTATCTTTAAAACACCTTTCACATACACCATTTTTTTTGTTTTAAATTTATTTTTCTTTCAAAACAAACTAAACAAACATCAATTGTATATGATATTTCTTGTAATTCGAAAGAACGAATGCAGTTAACTGCCTTGTTAAAATGTTCATCATCAGCAAATGGAGGTGGATCTGGTATTGTCTCAAAATCTATATTGAGTTTGTTTAGTTTGTATTTAATTTTATAATAATTTTTTAAGCATCTTTTTTTTTATATTCATCTGGAGTTTCATTTTCAACAGGTGGGTCATATGTTAAACCCAGTTTTCTGCATTTAGTGTGCAGATCTATATCTTTTTCTGTTTGATTGTCAGTCAGATTTGTTTTATGGGTTTCAAGTACTTGATTGTCAGAAATTTTATTTGTTGACACATTGTTTTGACTATCTAGAGAATCTCCAGTACTTAAATGTTCATTGTTAACAGATGTATGAGGAATTTGTGCTGTTTTTGTATTTAGCATGTATCTGATTCTATTTTTAATTCTCATGTATCTTTTTTTATATGCTCATATAAATTGATACCTTGCTCTATACATTTAACCTGCAGTTGTTGATCTCTATTGATTTTTTTAGTGACTTATTATCATTCGACTTTATAATTGGCATGTTAAATTGTTCACAAATTTGATTTTCTGAAATAACATTTGGAAGAAAATCAATCTTTTGCTTTTTTCAGGAATGGTTAAATGTTTAAAATCAATTTTCCTCTTTATACTGGCCTTACCATTTTTATTTGATATTGCATATTTATTTTGGTTTAATTGTGACCAGTGAAATAATTAATTGTAGTTCTGGAATTTCTCCCAAGAGTTGAAAATGATTATGGTTTAGTAAAAGGTCTATTGTTCTAATCTGAGGAGAGTGGATATATTGCTCTTTTGTAAAAACTGTTTCGTTTGCCAGGTTTGTTCCTTATATCCAGATATTAATATTACTTTGAGTATTTTTTTTATGCTATTGATATCTCGCAAGAGGTTGCCCATCCTTTTCCATTGACCATTGTCTGTAAATAAATATCCCTAGTGATATTGTTATAGTGTGAAAGTCTTAACGTATCCTCATATATATAAAAATTGTTGTAAATTTCTGAGCATGATAATGAACGATAAATCTGTTTTTGGGAGAAATCCCCATTTATGGCTAAACTAAGTGATGAGAAAAAGCAATTCCCATCTCCAGGAACATCATATATTATATTAAAAAATTATGATTTTCAATAGCTATCACTCCATTGTGGGGCACATTTAAAAAATATTGTTTCTGCAAAGGTTCTAATTGCACTAAATGTTGTGTGCCTTTTTTGTTGTGGAATTCTGTAAAACACTCTTCAGCTTCAGATTTTAAAACAGTAACTAATTTAGAACAAATGTCTTTAGTTTTTGAATTTTTGGACATGACAACATCTGCATATGTTTGTTTACTATTTTGTGGAGACCTTGAAGCATAAGCCTGTGTAGAAGTTGTAGTTACATTAAAGACTGGCATAATTTCATTCTTGTCAGTTGTTTTCTTGGGGACAGATTTAACAACATCAGCAAAAGATAAATGGGGAACTAAATATGAAACATCATCAGTTTTGCAATAATGATGATCTGAATGTATTATGTCAAAAGAATGACCATTGACCGGTGCATCATTCATATTACCATATGAATGGTTACGGATCTGGTCTGCATTTTATCAAAAGAATGGCCATTGACCGATGCATAGCTCATACAAGCATATGAAAGGTCACTGCCACTGGAACTTGTAATGTTCTGCATTTAATCTTTGTTTAACCTTCTTAAAATAGTAGATAATTAAGATGTCAACTTTCAATTCAATTCACACTTACAAGTAGTTCTTTCAAAAATATATATTACGGGTTTTGTTTGTCTTGAAATTTCAAGGATGGTCAGCGAGCCGATAGTCGTCTGCTAACGAACGTGCAGCCGAGTTTTTTGTGAGAATGAGAAAGGATTTATGGCAATCCTCTAAATTTAATGGCAGTTACTATGCGGTCATGTACTTGTAGAATCGGTATTTAAAAAATATATACATTTAAATGGTAAAAAAAAGACGAAAACTCTTTTATTTTAATGTAAACAAGAAGACGTGTTGCTATGAAGCCATCATCGGCCATCTTTTGAGTTGTTAAGAAGCGGATCTGTATCATAACCGACAAGTGATAAAATGATCATTAATCATGGCGATGACCAATTAACAAATGTTATATGACTTGATACAACTTTTAATGTTAGTTTCTTTTTGTTAAATGTCAAACGATTAACAAAATAACATTAAGCAAGTCTACCATAAACTGAAAAAAGGACATGAAAAGGATATACATTTGCCAAAATTGTTTTCAATGTAAACAAAGAGACGCTATAATCAGGTAACGTTTTTTTTTCATATCAGAGAATAATTAAAATGAAATTGTTATTGTGTTCATTCCTATATATTTGACTGAAAAATATACCCAAAGTCTCATGACAAATGAGACCGGAAGAAAGAAAGCGATTTCTGCGCAAATGCGGGAAAATAAAAAAGTTAGAAAAAAAGTTCATTAGTACATTGCCGTTTCAGAATCTAATGCATTCTGGGTAATATTTTCAAAAGCGTTGTGATTGGTTTAAAACGTTCTAAACAATGGAAATTCAACCAATGACGTAACGTTATTTTCATTTTGGTGTACGAACAATGAGATTACCCATAGTCCTTTAGATTCTGAAAAGGCGAATACAGAAAATTAAAATTATGCAAAGTGTTTGTAAGTAACCTTCTGTGTCTTCAGAGGCGGGTTTAAGGGGGGCAGAGAGGCCCACCCTCCCCCTTATTTGAGCTAAATATATGGTAAATGCATAGACTTTTTAAAAGTCTCACTCCTCAACTTGTCATGCGCCACCTTCTTTTGCAAAACATGGATCCACACCTGATCTTGTTATTATTCTAATACGTTTAATGATAATAATAACAATTGCGAGTTTGAAGGTACACATTAGCTAAGTCTTTCCCGCTCTATCTTAACATTTTAATATTGCAACAAACGCATATTCGATCATTTTACATATCAAAGAAAACAATTTACATAAATATTCAAAACATAATATTAAGTATGAAGAAAAGGGTGAAAAATCAACTACATCACATCTTCTTTGTCAAAAATTATCAAAAATAAAATAGCAGTCTGTTAGAAATAAATCTAGATAAGATGAGTCATTCATTGTACCGGAGTTTTGAAAATCCGTTACAACAATGAGTGTATCATCACATGATCTCTCTCTCTCGCTCGCTCACCCACTCTCTCCCTCCATCTCACTCTCACAAAACACATCAAATCACTTGACCGTCTATTATTATCAACTACGTCGATTTCTTCCTAGCTTTTCCTATGGAAGACACTTTTTCCTTTTTCATTTCATATTTATGGTTTGTTGATGCCTGCTCTGTGTCGTTATAACTTGAGTGTTCAATTATTGGGTCTCTGGCTTTTGTGTGCCATACATGAACCTGCATATAGAAACATAATAAACAGTCAAGTATTAATATCTATCAAATCAAAATTAGTTTTTTAATTTGTCTTGCAAATAATGTTCCCCCGAATGGCATTATGATTTAGATTTTAAGCTATAAAATTGATTGAACCATCCATTGTTCGTTTAATTTAGATGATGTTAACGGACGCCGACGGACGACGGACGCCAAGTGATGAGAAAAGCTCACTTGACCCTTTGGAATGCGATGAGAACAAAAAAAAAATAATTGGCCTCAATACTTATAAATTTATTTCTGAAATGGCCCATTAAGAGTTTGTCAATGGCCCCATGTTATTTCAAATGGCCCCATGAACTGATCAAAATTGGGGCCATAGTCCCATTGTCAAAAAATCTTTCCCAATCACTGTACTAAGACAAATGGCGATTTAGAGCTTGTGGAAAAATCCATACGAATATTTATCTATTATTAACACTATGCATTCGTTGAAAACTCTGGGTTAAAACAAATCCGCGATTCATGACAAAGGAGCGCACCAAACGAACAAGAAGACACATATTTTGTAGATAGGCATAATTTTTTTTATTATGTGTTGCATAGAATGGAATCGTATTTTTACGTTCCCTGTCGTTATTTATAATTTGGTTACCTTCGTGCATCCATTTCCCTTTGGTTCTAAATCACTCAGTAAGCAGCATATTTCCAAAAACATTGTTTCCTGGTAACCAACACGAAATGTCTTCCAAAAATACAACTGAGGATTATAATAAAACATCTTAGTATTCAATGCAAATCCTGCCATATCTATTGGAAATTTTCTGTTTTCGGTATTCCATGCATTAAATTTTATCACCTGAAATAGAAAGGTATGTCTGTATTTTAAGCATTTAAAATACCTACGTCAGAGAAACAATAAATTGAAAGATAAAGTCGGTAGCGAGGAACAACCAAGACCATTACCTCACTGTCGGACACAAGGAACAACCAAGACCGTAACCTCACTGTCGGACACAGAAATATGCAACATACAAGAGCACATAAAAACATCATAAATATTACACCAAATAATAAAAAAGTAGCAGGGACGATGAAAAAGAGTCAGGACAATTTCATGAAATTTTCATTGTCCTAGGTCAGTAAATCCTAGAAATGTAATTCATCAAAAAGAAACGTGTCTTCGACCAGCCAGTATACACTCACAGGGTTAAAGAAAATATTTTGTCTGAAGAAATGGTCACGTGGATTTCAGAATGACAGAATGACAAAAGTAAGCCTTGGGTAACTCTTTATTCCTCGGGTGCCAAGTGTCGGGGCAAAAAAACGGGACTTATTTGCTAGCTATAAACAATAAAATACTTTTATATTTTGTCATGTTAAGTATGGTGTGTTTTAACAATTTTAGCATAACAAGATATATTAACCCTTCAGGTTTAAGAAAAGTTCATAGTCCCGAAGTTTTAAGAGTATTTTTCCATGTGTTTGTTGTTTTGATCACAGGCTGGTTGTTTGTACATCCGCTCTGGTATGAGAAACAATTCAAGCGAGAAAACTAACGGTCTGATTTATGTACAAAAAAAAGACGAAAAACAAACTTGATATACAGCAACAAACGACACAGACAGACTGAATTTGTCGTTTCAGTAAACAAGATATGTACCATATGTAGAACCGACATTTTACCTTTCCATTTTTAAGAATTGGTGTCTGGTATTTTCTTCTGGAAACAAACCCCACTGGCCACACTGATACTTTCTTGGTGTATCTCATCTACAAAGATATTTATTTATAAGTTACAAAAATATTATTGAGTACAACCTGGAAAAAGGAAAATTATTGTAAGAATGTGTTTCTTTGTTGGCAAACACGCCTAATTGCCCAACATACTATCTTTATTTTTAATTATTTTATTTTATTTCGTTTTATTTTTGATCGATTAAGACCGGCAACAAAAGCATATTGAACAGAAGAAAAAGTAAGGTCACTGTTGATAAATTGAAACAAAAGCATATGAAAATGAAAAATAACGTAATTCCAAAAATGTATTGCACTGGCCAATACAGTGACCTGAAAAAGAAAAGCAGAAATGCCCGGAGAAGAACACTTAAGACGAAATCAGAAGAAATTTAAGAGAATTGGAAACAAGCGCAGTACATGGAAAAGGACAGACAGTAAGAGATGTTGACATCTTATTAAATCCATGTTGATTAAGTAAGGTAATATTAACAGAAACACCAACAAATTGAACGATTTTGACAAATACAAATTACAATTAATTCATCAGGAAAGCCAATTAGCAATGGCATTATGAATTTCAGACATTTCTATAAATACCTCTTCAAAAAGTTCCAAATCATACGTATTGTCATCATCAGCAAAATAAACCACGCCATCTTTTGACAAGTCAACATTCTTTCGTAACCAAAATATTGCTTTATTCCTTTGGTGAATCCCTTTTAGACTTGTTGTTAAATTTTTATATGGTTTTGCAGACAAATAGGTAAAATCAATCCCTGATTTTATTAGAAGTTGTTTGACTTCCGGAAGAGTTTGGTTTCCTTCTTCCACAACTATCCAATGTATAGATTTTACATTCTTCAAAGTGTTTGCAACTCTTGTCATTTCCGGTATTTGATTCATGCGTTTGTATGTTGGAGTTATTACATGAATTATTGGCAATTCTTTTAATTCGTCTTCTTTTTCTTCTGCTGAATTTCTTTTAACTCTATTATGTGGGACCGTCTGTTCATAATTCACCACTTCTAATACATTATTTCTTGCTTGAAATGAAGGTTCTTTTTTAACTGGTTCACTTTCCTCTTCTATAGAATCAAAATACCTTGTCTCGTGAGTCTTTAAGCTTGAGTCCCTTAGTTTACCTGATTGAAAGAAGTTAATTTGTTAATTTTATTACATATAACATTATTCCCCTTTGATAAAACAATTGAGTGTTCGATACTACCATAGGGTCGATGGCATAGCTTATCTGTGTAACTAAACCGAATAGCAACAAAGATGGTATTAGCTTCAACATTCCAAATTTAACTCATTATTATCTCGCTGTCGAGATGTTGTTAAAAAACGAACAAATGATCAAGCGTCTCTGTGAATTGCAAAAAGGATAAAAAGAATTATATCTTATGTTAAAATGCCAGCTTTATCGGTGATTCAAGGGAAACATTCCACTCTAACAACGGGTAACATAAATATGTAGAACATTTTGACAACCCTCGAAAAAACATTTCCAACATTTGCTTCGCCTCGGCTGACAATGGTTTTCACAGTGGTTGACAATCTGCTCTATCATCCTACATTAACTCGAAAAATGACACTTTATGTAGACTATAAATAGACTGCTCTAACCTGTTGGTACACCTGGTCGCGATCCGATTGGAGTTCATGTGATTGCCTTAGATTTTGTTTTTAGTCTTGATTTGTATATTCTAAATGAATTTACGATATTTGAACATTGGTAAATTACTGTTGCCTCTAATATAAGACAGAAACATCAAATAATGTCTTACCTGAATGTTGAAGTACACAATATAAAGAAACATAAACAATAAGTAATACTGGTGTAGCAGACAGGAATATAGTCGATTTTTTTGCCATCTTTGAATTTCCTGTATAGTTGTACTGCAATTGTTTTAAACGCTATATTCGGATTTCAAGGTGATGATGATTTAAGCTCTCAACTTTTTTTATTTCTTCCTAAAAGTTATACGTTATCAGTCAGGATTCTACTTCGTCAAAATTATCTCCCCATTACGCCACCTAATTTTTATAATCGTAAAATGGAAGTGATGACGCGCTGTCAATTTAGCTCTTAAAAAACCGATTTTATCCACATAGCATCATTGCGATCCTTATATGCCAGTTGTATTTTAAAAGATGTATCTACTAACTATTGAGCATCATTTAATGTACTTTTATGCATTTGGTCAACTGAAAATTATTGTCTGATCGGTTGTCAGGGGGAATTTTCGAAAGTTCAAAAATATTTAAAAAAATTCTAATTAAATATTTCGTGGAAGGGCAGAATAGAAATTTTCAGAGGTTGAAGACTAATTACCTTAGATAACACACACAAAAAATGAAGTTTTTTTTTTGAAGTTATGCATTTTTAAGATCCACTTGAAAAGTCTGTCGTTAAGTACTTTTAGTGAAAATTAGTTATTCGAACACACTACTCTGTTATGACGCATTAGAAAGGTATTTCACTTGACCCATATATTTCATTTTTGAGTACTGTAAATTTTTAATGATATTATATCAACCTACAGCCCTAATATATAAAAATAATAAAATCTGAAGCGAGATGATGTATCAAATATTTTATACATTTTCAAGACAGAATAGTCAACTCAAACACGCCTGAACATAAAAGGTGTACTCGACTTTCTCTTTTCGATGAAATTATTGCCCATTTTTGGGATTTTTTTCCCAAAACACTGTCGCCGGGGGCAGATATGCAAATTAATGCTTTAAAAAGATCAATCTATTGGAATTTTTTTCGGCGGAATTTATGCGTATGCACAAAAAAGATCCACTTGTATTTGCACCTACCACAATCGACTGTTTTGTGTGAAAATTTGTCTTTAATTTAAATGTTTACAAATATCTCGAAGCTCCATACCATAATTCAAGTACAAACACATACACAAGATGCATAAAATCCTAAATTAGGCACATTCATTAAACTTTTAAAGCCCATAGAAACAGATGTAAACAATTCAAATTTTCCTTCTCTAACAAAGAGTTCCATTTCTTTTGTTTAATTTCAACTGGGTTTCCGCCTGTTATCAATTTGCACCACTAAATTTAAGAAGACCAACTGTTACAGCAGAATGCATCGAGTGTGTAGGTAAAGGCAATGTCTTTGGTTAGCTTGCTTGCTAGCTGAGCCGTGAAGTCATTATTATGTTAGGTGAACTACCCTCCTTTAAGAGTAGACTAGTCCAACAGATAACCAATCTATCTGTCTGTAGGACTAGACTACTCCGAAAGAAGGGTAGTATACCTAACATAATAATGACTTCACGGTTCAGCTAACAAGCAAGCTAACCAAAGATTATACCTTTACCTACACACTCAATGCATTCTGCTGTAAAGACTAGCATTCTTTTGGGTCGAAAGTGGTTAAAATACTAGGGATATACGTTTACTTAACGAATTAAATTCACAATATCTTCTTACAGACAATTATTACATTCTATTCTATTTAAAAACAAGCTTTAAATCAAAGGATAAGTGTTAGTATCTGATTTTTGTCTTATTGAACAAATCTGAAATAAAAACAAAAAATAATCAAATCTGACGTCAAAGTTGGGGGTGTTTTGCCTAAGTTTTAATGTACTTATGAAACGTCATATAATCATAGTTTTTTTGTATTTTCACAGGGGTAACTTTCTGGGGTGTGTTTAATTGCTCTCTTTTGTACATCTCCAGAATATCTCTAGGCGAAGAGTCCAAAAAATTTATCTGGACCTCTTCTGGGGATATTCTGAAGAAAAAACAATAAAACTCAAATTCAATTTGTGGTCGAATATAGCAGAATTTTATATTTTGGATGACATAACTTAAGTTTACGATGTTTTATCAAAAATTCAGTTGCGTCAGCTCATTTGAAAGACACGACTGTAATGGTGTGCTTTGTTTAGGCATTGAAAATTAGTCGGAAGAAATCGCTGTGTTCGTGACTTTTTTGTATGCTTTCTTAACTTAATTCAGTTAAATAAATCCGCCTTGAAGATCCGATTACTAGTATTTGATTTTCAGGAATAATCTTAAATTGTACAAGAATTTGTCAATGTTTGTCTGGTATTTTATTGAATAAGACATCTTGTGTTAAATAAGGGGACGACCATCTGATACTTATTTGTTGTTTTCTTTAATTGTTTGTTTTTTTTTGGGGGGGGGGGGGCGGAGGGGGGGCAGGAGGATTTTCATTATGAATATGCTGGTCTGGTAAGAGCTGAGCCACAGATTAAAAAGAATGGTTTATCCGCAAAAAAATCCTGCAGCCCCCTTCACCTCCCCAGAATATCAAATGGTCGTCCCTTACTGTTACTTTCCGGCTAATTCTATTATATAAAACCACCCTTCTCTTCTTTTATTTTGCCATTTTTGATCAGATATTTTGATTTTATGTTTTCAGTTGGAATATCCGATGGAAATGTAAAAATTATACAGGGATGTCCTACAATGGCAGCCATCACACAGCTTTTATACTATTATATCTGCATTCGTAAATTTATCAATGTCATTTAGACTAATAAGCGACGCCATGCCGTCTAATCTACCTATTTAACAGAATATCTTCTTAATGGAAAAAAAAACAGAAATGGACCTCTTCTCGCTCAAAACCGACCAACAAAAAAACTCGCCTCTTATCTATCACCCTACATTACTCGAAAAATGACACTTTATGTAGACTATATATAGACTGCTCTAACCTGTTGGTGCACCCGGTCGCGCTCCGATTGGAGTTCATGTGATTGCCTAAGATTTTGTTTTTAGTCTTGATATATGTATATTCTATATAAATTTGAACATCGGTAAATTACTGTTGCCTCTTACATAAGACAGAAACATCAAATCATACTTACCGGAATGTTGAAGTACACTAAATAAAGACACATAAACAATAAGTAATACTGATGTAGTAGACAGGAATATAGTCGATTTGTGTGCCATCTTTGAATTTCCTGTATAGTTGTACTGCAATAGTTTGAAACACTATATTCGGATTTTAAGCTGATTTTAATTTAAACTATCGACTATTTATATTTCTTCCTTAAACTTGTGCATTTATCTATTTGCACCACTAAAGTAAGGATTTTGAGTCGTCTGCAAGAAATTTCGCCTTAACTTTTAAGAAGACCACCAATTTAAGACTAGCATTCTTTTGGGTTGAAAGTGGTTAAAATACTAGGGATATACGTTTACTTAACGAATTAAATTCACAATATCTTCTTACCGACAATTATTACAGTTTATTCTATTTAAAAACAAGCTTTAAATCAAAGGATAAGTGTTAGTATCTGATTTTTGTCTCATTGAACAAATCTGCAATCAAAACAAAAAATAATCAAATCTGACGTCAAAGTTGGGGGTGTTTTGCCTAAGTTTTAATGTACTTATGATACGTCATATAATTGTTTTCTCTTTCGGTGCATGGTGGTTAGGTTTCTTTAGATTTAAAGGTCACGATTTGAAATCGAAGTACAAATTAGAAATATAAATATTGAATTTACAAATAAAATACTTAATAAAATTTAATTAGCAATAATCGGACTGTTAAACAATTACGTGACAGGCTATCCGAACCGATTTTAGCACTGCTGTTTAACCTGTAGACGAAACGTCATATTTAAAACTGTTCCTTTTATTAGCTCACCTTTCCAAAGGAAATATGAGCTTTTGCCATCACTTGGCGTCCGTCGTCGCCCGGAAATTTTCAGATGAATCTAACAACCCATCGTTGGGTTGCTGCCACTATTTTGGTAATTTTAAGTTTTTATATGACTAAAATTGTCAATTGACCCCATAAGGAATTATTGCCCTTTAAGGACAATTTTACACAATTTGTTTATCATGTTTTCTAACTTTAAAAAATCATCTCCTCTGAAACTACTGAACCAAATTAAACCAAACTTAAGCTGAAAGATTCTTAGGTTATCTAGAATAAAGTTTGTGTTTTATTTTCTATTTCCTCAGAAAACATGGCCGCCGTGGCTAAAAATAGAACATAGGGTAAAATGCAGTTTTTGACTTATGTCTCAAAAAGTAAAGCATTTAGAGCAAATCTGATTTTAAGGTTATTTCCCCTGAATTGATGATTTTAAGGAAATTTTGCAGTTTTCGGTTATTATCTTGAATATTATTATAGATAAAGATAAACTGTAAATAACAAAAATGTTCAGCAAAGTAAGATCTACAAATAGGTTTTGTATGACCAAAATTGTCAATTGACCCCTTAAGGAGCTATTGTCCTTTAAAGACAATTTTTCACAATTTGTTCATCTAGTTTGCTTACTTTAAAAAATATTCTCATTTGAAACTGCTGAATCAATTTCAGCCAAACTTGGGCTGAATGAGTTTCAGAGTATCTAGTATAAATTTTGTATTTTATTTCCTTGTACGTCAAGAAACATAGCCACTATGGCTAAAATGGAACATAGGGGTAAAATGCATTTTTTTACTTTTGAAGAAAATATGACAGATACAAAGAACATTTAAATGGCATTTTTAAGCCACTCATTAATATATATTGAAAAGCAAAAATAATCATTGATGACAGATTTAAGCAAAAAATTACAGGTGAGCGATTCAGGCTCTTGAGAGCCTCTTGTTTCAATTGACATACATATATTGACATTAAAAACTTTTTGCCTTCTAATATACGAATCCCATAGTAGACTATGGATATCAATTACCCAACAGCCAGTGCTATTGCACTTATATATTGGATGGAGGTGGCTTTAACTGCTCAACGTTAGTTTAAACTCTGTTTAATGTAATTTTAGTTTTAATAAAAACTCACCAAAGACATTTCAATCCCTTCTACTTTCAGGTTGTCATGTTTGTCCGGTTCTGGTTTTCGTGTTTGTCCTGTGGTTTTCATGCTTGTCAGTCCTGTTCTGGTTTTCATGTTTGTCCTGTTCTGGTTTTCATGTTTGTCCTGTTCTGGTTTTTGTGTTTGTCCGGTTCTGGTTTTCGTGTTTGTCCTGTGGTTTTCATGTTTGTCCTGTGGTTTTCATGTTTGTCCTGTTCTGGTTTTCATGTTTGCCCTTTTCTGGTTTTCGAGTTTGTCCTGTTCTGGTTTTCGTATTTGTCCGGTTCTGGTTTTCGTGTTTGTCCTGTTCTGTTTTTTTCATGTTTGTCCTAATCTGGTTTTAGTGTTGGTCCGGTTCTGGTTTTCGTGTTGGGCCTGTGGTTTTCATGTTTGTCCGGGTCTGGTTTTCATATTTGTCCCGTTCCTTTTTTTCATATTTGTCCTGTTCCTTTTTTTTCATATTTGTCCTGTTCCTTTTTTTTCATATTTGTCCTGTTCCGGTTTTCATTTTTGTCTTTTCTGTTTTTCATGTTTGTCCTGAGTGTTCTGTTTTTCATGTTTGTTTTGTTCTAGTTTTTATGGTCGTAATTTTTGTGTGTGTTTGACATTCCATACTTTGTTAACGTTTCAAATGAGCATGCCATAAATGTTATCTTGAAAATTTTGTTCACGCTTTAATAGTGCTATCGAGAATCGTATTACAGATTAATTTTAACAACCTTCCTTTATGGTCGTTTCACATCATTTCTGGTGTATTTCTTTTTTTTTAACTTTTCGTTTTCTATATGCTTTTCAACTCTGTAATAAATGTTTGGCTTTCCAGCTATTTTGATTCGAGCGCCACTGACTAGTCTTGTGTAGACGGAACGGTATCTTTCGTGAGTTTTTGTATACCCTTTGTGACATTCTTCTTTTGTCAATACACTGAAATGTTTACTATCCACAATTCACAATGAACTGCGTCTCAGTGTTTCAAAGCAAATTCATTCTTCTCCATGAGTTTTCAATCACGAATAAGACATAAGAGGTCTTTTTTCTTTTTCATTTAATTAAAAACAGTTGATGAACATCAAAAGGGATGTCAAGGCATTGTTATAATCTTGGTCAACTTTAACAAATAAAGATAATTTAATAGTTTGCTTTAGACGGCTGAGGCATTATTGGAAAGACAATAACGTTGGGCTATACGTCAAATTCATTGATGTTTGAATAAAAAGATGTTAAAGTAAAAATAAAATGAATGGATATTCCAAAAATATGGACAAGTTAAAACTTAAAATGAAAAATCTCAACATGAAACTCCCTTTATCAATTCAAAGTATTTATTTGATTGACTTAATATATTGTAAACAGGGATATCCTTTAATTAATATTAATTGTAACTGCAGGATAACATATGCATACACATAATACTTATACAAAAAGGATAACAGCAATCGGAAATAATAACGCACAGTACAGCAGACCACATCAAACATCAATCGAACATCCCCCCTCCAAAAAAAAAAAATATACAAACAATGGCCATGCAGCAACAACGAGGGGGGGGGGGGGCAATAGGGGGTCCGTTAACATGTTAACAACACCTCGATTTGGAGAAAAACAGTTAACAACAAATATAAAATGCTGATAACAGTTAACACCAACTTTAACTGAATAACAGATAACAGTGGTGTAAAAACTTCAATAACACTTAACAACCATATTCAAAAATCAAACAATGTTAAGGTATTTGATTGTTCTATCCGAATTTGAGGAATTTTCAAAAACAAAACAGCGGGTGTCTTGCAAAAAAGCAGGAAATGCTCACCCTTTCTAAGTACCTCAGTGTTTTTATTAAGTTTTGAAATAAGAGGAAATAATTTCAGAATAGCAGGCAAAAGCATTTTGGCGAGGGGTCTGAGGGCCGCTAAAGGCCCCCAGTAGTTCTTTGTCCTGGTAGGGGGTCCGGGGGGGGGGCTTGAAAAGAGATTTAGCTAATTTTAAGTCATTTTTCAGGGACTCCTTGCTCTCAAAAATAGTCATTTTGAGATAGAGAGGCCCTAAAAATGATTTCAAAATTGCTTATTTTGAAACAATATTTTGCCTGTAGCCATATTTAGGGTCAGTGTTAAGTTGCGTGACCTGAATATATATTTCTGAACATTTTCCTGCAGGTTGGGTGTTAAAAAATATTTTAAAATATTTGTGAAAAAATTACGTGTAGGCACGTACCTAAAGTGCCTAACGGCAGCTACGCCCCTGAGAAATGCATTGTTTAACTGAAAGGGTCCAAAGATTAGTACTATATTGTGTTTTTCTTGAATTATTACTTGTACATGTATTATAGTTTCAAATAGAATTCATTGATAACATTAATTTATGCTTTATTATTTCAATAAATCGTTGTCAAATCCTATCCCAGCAATCCAACTCCATATATCACAAGGTGTTAAGAACATTTATTTAGACCAATTAGAATAAACTAATTGACCATGGCCATGTCCATCGTTAGGAGCCCAAGCCATTGCATGGTGACCTTTAATCTTAAAAATACTGTATTTTTTATAAGGCGCTGGACACCTCGTGATCTGTTTGACTAATACTTTTCTATACTCTTTCCTTTCTGTCCATGTTTATTTAACAAACATAGTATAGAATATATTTTCATAATTTGCAATATATTAATTACCAAGAGTTGCAGATGTTACTGTGTCTTTTCAAGTTTCTATGCCTACGGAAGGCGAAACGAGGTCTTTTGTCAAATAAAAGGTTTGCCTCTTCGTCATCTTTTAATTTATCCCACTGTTTTTAAATATTGTTTTTTTAAGTGTGTTTTCTGTCTTGAACATACTGTGGAGAAAACTAAGTGAGGAGACTGTAATACTGATTTGGGTTCAACCATTAATGTGACATGTCTTTGTTTTGCAGTCACCTCCTGCATAACAGTTTTTATTTCATTTTATTTATATTTGTATATCCCCTTTTAATAAGGCATTCAGAAAAATTACGCATATTGTGTTTGCAAATCTACTGGATCGTTCGTTCATCTCTTAAAGAGAAGCATGTGTCCTTAATTATACCTCTGAAAGTAGAGGACTAATGGATGGCATGAGGACCTCTCTAAGTACTGAAATTTTCAGGGTTTATTTTCCGGAAAAACAGTCAACAGAAATAAATTATGCCAAAATCAGTCAACACTTTAAGTGTCAAGTAACAGATAACAGAAATCCCATTTTCAAATAAAACAGTTAACAACATTGCCAATTTTAACAGAACAGATAACAGACAGAGGGTTGAAACCAG